GAAAGAAAGAAAGAAAGAAAGAAAGAAAGAAAGAAAGAAAGAAAGAAAGAAAGATTACACCTAAAGGAAAGCTGGACTGGCCAGCCTTGACCACTCTGTCTGTGATGGAGAAGCAGCAACAGTACCAAACCCAGTGCCTTTATTTGTACAAAGTAAACAAAGAAGAAAAGCATGCCATGGGGTTGACACTGCAAAGTCTTAGTATTCTGCTGAGAACATTGAAAGTGAAAACATTCTCAAGATATCTGTGTTATAGATAACAACACAAAAGCTGGACACCTATTGATATGCATATCAGCTGGAGGTCAACCTGTTTGTGCCCGCTGTCTCCCTGGCTCTGTGTCCTTGGGACTGTGTTTGCTCTAGCTTCTAGGAATTTCCTGGCTTCCAGCTCAGTCATAGAGCCATGGCTCCCCACATCTCCCTTTTTTTTATTTCATTGTTGCAATGTATAATCAATTGAAGTCAAAAGAGCTGTTTTTGGAAGACTCTGCTGTGAACGTAAAGACAAATAATTCAACACCAACTTTATGAGGCCAAATATAATTCAGACTGAATTACATAGTACATGAAAGGGTTAAATCCACTTAATAACCTAAAACAGTATTGACCAATTACTTGGGGGGTCAAAATCTGCTGTAGCTATTAGAGTGACTAGTGACACTATCCCTAAATAATTAACCTAATCAGACCTATGAGGTCTGATTAGTTGATTTTGTATTTCTTTGAGAACTTCCATGCTTCAATCACTATAGCAAGTTCCAAAGATATTGACTGGGACCATCACAAAAGAGAGCAGATAGGAGACCACATCTTTGCTGCTGTTGTGGGTAGATAGGCAGGAAGTAAGACTGCAATTAAAACAAGTCACAGTATGTTGTTGTAGGGAGCGGCTCAGAATGCAGAGCAGCTCAGAATGCAGGTCAAAGACAGATGCAGATGGCAATCCCCTCCCCTAGCAGGGAAATGGGATTCGGGGTCAGCCTCAGACCCCCAACCTCAGACAGACCTCTGGCGCTATAAGGTTTGTCCCACAACAAAACAACCCCACACAACACAACCTGGCACAAAACAATCCATTTCAAACCTCCTCCGAGCCACACCAGGAAGTGCAGGATTGGACCTCTGTTCCACCTCCAATACAGTATTAGCTCCCGACATGGGAATACAAGCCATCCCTACCGGGATTTATGGCCCTTTTCCCAATGGCACATGTGGATTAATCCTTGGACGCAGTAGTGTAATCTTAAAAGGATTACAAGTTGTCCCAGGAGTCATAGACAACGACTATACTGGTGAAATTACTGTCATGGTGTCCTCTATTTCTTGCCTAGTTTCCATTGGCCAAGGACAATGTATTGCTCAATTGGTGCTATTGCCTTTAGTCCAAACTCCTAATACAGCTGTGGCCTCCTACAGGGAAAATTCTTCCCTTGGATCCTCAGATATATATTGGGCTCAATGCATTTTCAAAGATAAACCTCTTATGGCTTTACTGCTTAACTGGAAAAGTTTCTCAGGGCTCATAGATACAGGTGCTGATGTAACAGTCATTAGAAAGGAGGACTGGCCTCCCGCATGGCCCTTAGAAACCACTATGACATATTTTACAAGGGATTGGACAATCTAAAAATCCACAACGTAGTGCCAGTCTACTTACCTGGAAATATAAAGAAAACAATCAGGGACACATACAGCCCTATATTGTAGAAGGGCTACCCCTTAATTTGTGGGGCAGAGATTTACTAACCCAAATGGGAATGATGATGGGCAGCCTTAATACTATAATCACCAAACAAATGCTCACTCAGGGAGTTCCTTCCTACCCAGGGTTTAGGCAAACAGGGCTCAGGCATTAAAGTTCCTATTTCCCCAGCCCCAAACCCTTCTAAAACAGGCCTAGGCCATTTTCAATAGGGGTCATTGACACTCCTGCAGCCCATGCAAAAGAGATTACCTGGTTGTCAGACAAACCTGTTTGGGTCGATCAATGGCCCCTTACCTCTGAAAAGCTTGGAGCCGCACAACTGCTGGTGCAGGACTAGTTAGATGCAGGCCACATTGTCCCTAGTGATTCCCCGTGGAACACACCTATCTTTGTTATCCAAAAAAAGTTGGGGAAATGGAGGCTGCTACAAGACCTTAGGGCAATAAATAAAACCATGGTCTTAATGGAACCCCTACAGCCAGGCCTCCCTTCACCCAGTGCCATTCCCCTGGGATTTTTAAAAATTGTCATAGATCTTAAAGATATCTTTTTTTCTATTCCCTTACACCCAAATGACCAAAAGCGTTTTGCCTTCAGTCTCACATCAATTAACTTTAGAGCCCCTATGCAGAGATTTCAATGGCGAGTCTTACCACAAGGTATGGCTAACTCCCCCACGCTATGCCAGTCTTTTGTCACTGCCGCAATACAGCCAGTTAGAGATCATTGGCCAAATATATATATATCTCCCATTATATGGGAGATGATGATATCCTCTTGGCGGGAGAGAGTCAAGACCAGACTTTACAATGTTACCAGGCACTACAAGCTGCCTTACAAAAGGCTGGGCTTCAAATAGCCCCTGACAAGGTCCAGCTTACTGACCATATACATATTTGGGCTTTCAGTTACAAGGCACTCAGGTGTTTTCTCCAAAGTCTCAACTAAGGCTTGATGGCCTTAAGACACTTAATGATTTTCAAAAGCTTCTAGGTGATATTAATTGGCTTTTGCCCTATTTGAAATTGACCAAACATGATCTGCAAACCCTTTATGAGATCCTCTGAGGAGACATTGACCCAACTTCCCCCCAAGAGCTTATACCCAATACTAGAAAAACACTCCATACAGTAGAAGAGGCTATCGCTCAACAAACTGTCTCCTTCATAGATTATAATAGGCCACTACAGTATCTCATTTTTAATACAAAACTTTCTCCCATGGCAGTATTTGGGCAACAAGGTCCTCTTATGTGGCTTCGTCTGCCAGTCTCCCCAAAGAGAGTATTATTGCCTTACTACCAAGCAGTCTCTGACCTGATAATTCAAGGCAGAAAGCTAGGAAAATGTTATTTTGGAAAGGAACCAGATATCATTCAACCCTTCACCAAAGATCAAGTGGACTGGCTACTCCAGACCACTGAGGCATGGCCTATTGCTATAGCCTCCTTCTCAGGGACCATTGACAACCATTACCCTCCAAATAAGTTAATCGATTTTGCTAACCATCACCCATTTGTATTCCCCAAAATTATAGCTTCACAGCCCTTTTCTGGTGCCCCAGTGTTTTTTACTGATGGCTCCTCCTCCGGTAAGGCTGCCTATGTAGCTCAAGACAATGTTTTTACCCTCCAGACCGACACCTCTTCTGCACAGCTGGCTGAACTGCAGGCCATCCTGGCGGTTTTCACTGCTTACCCCAATCAACCCTTCAATTTGTTCACCAATAGGGCCTACCTCGCCCAGTCTGTTCCATTACTAGAAACTGTTGCAACCATAAGCCATGCCTCCCCAGCTGCAAACCTATTCAGGCAATTACAGGACATGATTCGGCTTCGCAGTCATAAGTTTTTCATTGGCCACCTGCAAGCTCATTCTGGCCTCCCAGGTTCCCTTGCTCAGGGAAATCATTTGGCTGATATTGCTACATGGACACAGGTATTCGTGGCCCACTCTGAGCCTATAAATGATTCCAAGATATCTGAGGCCCAACAGGCTCATCAGTTACACCATCTCAATGCCCAGACTCTCCGCCTCCTCCATAAAATTACTCAGGAACAAGCCAGACAAATTGTAAAAAATTGCCCCTCTTGTGCTGTCCATTTGCCTGTTCAACATCTGGGAGTCAACCCAAGAGGTTTAAACCTTGTGGCAGATGGATGTCACTCATTTTAATGAATTTGGCAACCTAAAATATATACATGTGGTCATTGATACCTACAGTGGCTTCATCTTTGCCACACTCCAGACTGGAGAGGCTACTAAACATATTATAGCCCATATGCTATCAGCTCTCTCAGTTCTGGGATGTCCCCAACAGCTCAAGACAGACAATGGCCCAGGTTATACTAGTACCTCTTTTGCCAAATTTTGCAAGTGCCTTAATATTCTCCACACCACGGGTATACCTTACAATCCTCAAGGACAAGGTATTGTTGAATGTGCACATTGCTCCCTCAAATCTACTATAGATAAAATAAAGGGAAAAACCTGATACCCAACCCGAGGGTCTCCTAAAAATATTCTCTCACATTCTCTCTTTATTCTAAACTTTCTATCCCTGGATGCCTCAGGCTGCTCAGCGGCATCTCGCTTCTGGCACACACAGACAGCCACACAATATGCATCTGTTCTATGGAGAGATCCCCTAACCAACGCATGGAATGGCCCTGATCCAGTCCTTATCTGGGGATGAGGTTCCATTTGCGTCTACTCCCACCAAGAAAAGGGAGCTAGATGGCTCCCCGAGAGGCTTATAAGACAAGTTGATACACAACAAACAGATAAGCTAATACGGGCCTCCCAAGCACCCAGGGTTGTGACCCCCTGAGGTTTTTTCTCTGTGCTCTTTTTACAGGAGAATGCTAAACCTAAAGACCTCATGGACAATCATCAGACTTCTAACACAATTATACCTGTGCACAACGGCTCCCCAACAAGCTGACAATCCCCATCAACCTTGGAAGTGGTCAATCATGCGTTGGAATGATGAAACAGAGGTTGCAACCTGGGTAGGATCAGGAAGCCCAAATTTTCAGGTCCAGTCTTGTGCCCTTGTATCCATTAATCCCCAGTGCCAAAATACATTGCCAGTATATTTTTGTCCTGCTGCAGTAGGAGGCAGATCACATTGTAATTCCCCAGGACATTATTATTGTTCCTACTGGGGCTGTGAAACAGCTGCCACAGGATGGGACCCCGACATACCTGATAAACATCTTAAAGTAAAGTGGGGGCCATTAGGCTGTTGCCCACTGTGGCGCTCCACCCATTCTCCCTCCTGGTACGAGAGCATGAAAGTCCGAATTTGTGATATGATAGACATAACCATTACCACCCCTGAGGAAACTGGCTGGCTGACAGGGCGCACTTGGGGAATGCGATATCATGAATCTGGCCCAGGTAGGGGCGGTCTTATTCTCATAAAAAAAGAACTACTACCCTTACCTGCTGTGAAAGTGGGCCCAAATCCGGTGCTCATCCCACTCAACAGCCATAGGCCTCGTAGTCAAGTGGTGACCTGACCCCCATTAACGACCACCGGCCCCTCTCTAAGCTCTCTCCACACTTCCCCAGCTGCTCCAGAACCTTTAAGTCCCACCTTTGCTCCACACTCTAATTTGTACAACCTGATTCTGGGGGCCTTTGCGGCTTTAAATCATACCCAACCTGATCTCACCCAATCCTGTTGGTTATGCTTGGATGCTCCTCTCCTATATTATGAAGGAAAGGCCCTCAACTTAACATTTACCAGTTCTCTTAGCTCATCTGCCTGTGACTGGGGCAATCATCATAAGCTGACTCTCCCTGACGTCTCAGGTAGAGGGACTTGTCTTGGGGACTCCAGCCATCCACCATCATTGGCAGCATGACTCTGTGCCCAGCTTCATTCTGAGTTCAAGCCAAATAATTACCTTATTCCACCCCCAGGGACGTCTTGGGCCTGCAATTCCGGCCTCTCACCCTGCATAGCAACCGATGTTTTTAACAAGTATACAGATTTTTGTGTTCTTGTACAGGTTCTTCCTCCCATAACCTTCCACCCAGGAGACTACTACCTCCAGGCATTGCAGACCGGCTATATGTATAAGAGAGAACCTGTGACACTCACCTTAGCTGTATTACTGGGGTTAGGAGTAGCAACAGGAATATGAACAGGGACTACAGCTCTAGTGTTGGGAAATAATTGCCTAGCTCAATTATAGGCAGCAGTAGATCAAGATTGAAAAGAAATAGAAACATCTGTGACGGCTCTACAGGCATCCCTGACAACTCTATTTGAGGTAGTCCTACAAAATAGAAGAGGGCTAGACCTCCTATTTATGAAGGAGGGTGGCTTATGTGCTGCCCTCAAGGAAGAATGTTGTTTTTATGCCAACCACTCAGGAGTTGTCAAAGAGTCCATGAATAAACTAAGAGAGCGTCTCAAAGAGAGAGAAAAAGAGTGCCTTGGAGAAACCACCCCCTCGGGGGTCTCTTCATTGCCCCCCTCTTGGGACCCCTAGCCGCCTTGCTGTTACTGCTTACTGTAGGACCTTGTATTTTTCAGAGGATCATGACACTCATTAATAATGTTAATAACAGGATTGACACATTTATGGCAAAGCCCATTCAGGTACATTACCACCGGTTAGAAACGGCAGAACAACAAACTTATCAGGAAAGAACACCCACTGACGGCCCACATGATACTGTGGCCTAAATGCCCTGAGGCACTGGACAGGCAGCCAGAGATGGGCAACTAGGACACATATGTTATGCCATCCACCACCTAAGACAGGCCAAGGACCAATAGCTGTCCTGCAGGCCCATGATGGGTAAGGTTGATTGGGTTCATATGAGGAGTCCTTGACCCAAGACAGGCGCTGTCCTCCCAGGGCCTGTCATATTCCTAAATAGCATATAATAATAAGGGAAGAGATATAGGGAGCGGCTCAGAATGGCTGCTGCTGCCCTGCCCCTCCCACTTGAGGGCATTTTGTGTGTCAGCCAACATTTCCCATGATCCTCCCCTTGCCTACAGTGCACATGACGTAAGCAACTTCCCGCTTCAGCCTACATCTCCCATAATCCCCTCCTGTTGACATCACTTCCGCTTACCTACAAATGACTTCCTGCGGGTCTGATAGCCCACAACAAATAACAAGATCCAAGCCAGCCTATCCTGTAAGGCCACGTCCCCTGTGACTCTATATAAGCCATGTACACTTCCTGAATAAATGAGACTCTATTGGAATCTCAACCTGGCTCCATCTCTCTTTTCTCTTGCCCAGCCCTCCATCCCCATCCCTTCTCCAGGTGAGGCCCACGAACCGATCCGTGGGACGGTTCATGTTGTGGCCTAGCGTTAACCAATACATCTCCTTCCTGTCCTGTATGCGCTGTTTCAATATAGATTAAAATTTCATTTCCAGTAAAGACTTAAGTTTCAGCTTCTTGTAAAACCCGCCAACACATTCCCCATGTTTCTGCAAGGTGTGCCGGCGTGGGAAAATGTTAAACCAGAGAGCAACAGAATGTACTAAGAATGTTATCTGAAATAGGTCGATAGCTTTGCAGGTTTTTGGCTTAAAACTCCAACCCTTTAGCTGTAAGGTGCGCAGTCTTCCATATTGGCTCCCGGAGGCTGCTTCACCAGGCCTGGCCTAAAATAAAGCCATTGCTCCCTAAATTTTAATTTCTTGCTTCCTTGGATTTTATTCCGGGATCCGAGCTATCACAAGTATAATGGTTACATTGGTTAGAAATGTTGACTTTTTTAGCCAGGAGCACATTAAGAGACTGGACACAAGAAATAGCATAATGGGCAGAGTGTCCAGTTCCCACAAATCTTTCATGCTAGCATTCATTGATTATTTTTTTTACATAAATGGAAAAGCCAGCATTTGTGAATATTTCTGCTGCTGTTCCTGAGAGGTAATGAGTATGGAGGCTGGGAAGATGCCCATGAAGCTTGTTCATGCTATACCAATCATAGAGAGTCAGGTTCCTCAAGGTGGTGCGATTAATCTCAGGAATGCAACATTCAATCAAGGGACAAAGCCCCCAAGGGACACCACATTACTGACATTATGGAATCTTGCAATGGGCAAAGGGAAGAATTTGTATCATTTAATATCATATTGAAATCCATTATAACGGCCAGGGATTTAACTCAGAAGTGTAACTACCTTTCTGGAGAACACAAACTCCTGAGTTCAATTTCCAGTACAAACCCTCCCCAACCCGCCCCCTAAAAACACAACAACAAAAACTCTGCAGCAAATTAGAGAAATAATCTCATTTGTAAACTGTTCAGAACCATTTTAACCAATGCTGATTTTTCTAGCCTCACTGACCTAAGAATGGGAATGCACATGTGGATGAAAAATATATAGGCGGGGCTGGGGATTTAGCTCAGAGGCATAAGTGCCTGCCTTGCAAGTGAGCAGTCGTGAGTTCAATCCCCAGTACCAATAAAAATGAAAAAGACAAAAAAAAAAAGGCCAAAAAAAGAAAAATATATGGGCAACACCATGCTAAACCCATTTTTCTCTCTCACACTAGTGAGTTCATCTCTATTTTTTGGCTTCTCTGGAGCCTATTTCTTTCTTCAGATTTTGTGAAGCCTACCTCTCTCCTAGTTTCTTTTAAGTCTGTTTCCCTCTGTGGCTTCTCTTAAGACTATTTCTCTCTTTGACTTCTCTGGAACCTATTTCTCTGTGCAGCATACCTAGAGGGCTCCTTTTACCTGCTTTCCTATGCATTTCCTCATTCCCTGGGTCCCAGTTCAGGTGCCAAATGCCACATTCTGCACAGCTCTCAAAGATTCCAGGGTGAGGGCACTGAGAGGATGGAGAAAAAAGAACAAGAGGAATACAGAAAACAGAGGCAAAGTGGATCCCTCTGTTCTGAAGGGGAAGAAAGTAAAGGAGAAGAAAGAGGAGTGGGAGGAGAGTTCCAATGGCTGCTTCATGTTTATTGATACACGTGGGAGATGGAATACCACGTGAAACCCTTTCCCCCAAGAGCTTATCCCCAAGACTTGCCTGAGGTGCCCAGTGTGCTTGAACCTAGAGCAGCTCATTCGTGAGACTTTCCTCAGTCACTCTGCTGTCTTGAGGCTGGCCTTGCTCCTGCCTAGATCATGATCCATCTCCAGCTGCAGCTGCGCCACACAGTTTTAACATTGCTTGAAAAATTCCTTTCTTCATTCAAACTAATACCAGTAAAATGCCACCCCATTCACTAAACCAGTGCAATTCACACTGCCTTATTTTATAATCTCACAACAACTTGTCCTTTTTAAAATCTTCTCATGAAGCCACCACTATGAGTTTCATGGTCATGTGATTTAGAAATATTATGCATGCAGTGAGACAGGAATAACTATGGACACAGCTATTTTGTGGCTTCAGCTTCTCATAGTTCAAGATGAAAAATTCTCTTACATCTAGCATGACAGACTAAAATAAAGTCATAAGATAATCCAAGTGTTCATCAAACTTTAGTCATGCTGAAATATCATGTCAAAGAGTAGAAGAAGATAGCTGGATGTGATCGTATATGAATGAGCTCTGAAACATATATTGATGATTTGAGTAAAATGAGGACATGTAGAGTCAATTTACAGATAGACGAGACAGCTTGTATATCTGGGGGGAGGGTATGTGCAGATGGAAGCATTAGAATGTTACATCATGTGAATGTAGTCAGATTTTTAGAGTATTTTCCCAGAAATCATTGTCATATGTAACTTCATATCATTGTGGATATTCTTCATGGGATTTTTTGAGTTACTACCTAGGAGTTTAACTGGTAGCTAATAATTAAACCATCATTAACTTGTGTAATACTTTGAAACGAGATACCAGGTGTCTGAAGCCACGCATTGGTATTAAGCATGTGTTCAGGGCCAGATGTCTGTATGTGGTGAATTATTTCTGCTTATATAGATTGTAAAAGGACAAATTCATGGTGATGTGCAAAGAATTGAAGCAGTCAAACTAAAATATGTGCATGTGAATAAAATCAGTTCATACAGAGTATTCATACAGAAAAACTCAATTGTATAGTTTTCTGAGGAGAGAATTGATGTAATTGAAAGTTTATTGATAATAGATACCTAGTAGGAATTGTATTAACTTTTCATGGTTGTTACTCTTGTCACAAGGAAAAAATCCTGACATAAAAAGCAAATTAAGAGGCCAGGAATAGAACTCAGCAGCTCAGCACCTGACTGTCAAGCATGAAATGCACAGTTCGATTTTCAGTAGGAAAAAAAAGAGTAAATGAAAAAGTTTATTTTGTCTCATCATTTCTGAGACTGTAGTCTTGGTTTGAACATTTCAAATGCACAAGTTTCATAGTAAATATAAGTACAGGACAATGATACTAGCTTTCAGAGACCCAGGGTACAGAGA